ACCTAACTGTCTGCTGTGCTCTCAACATTAGTTCTCACTCAGTGAGGCTCTTTTCAGATTCAAAATACCTTTGAGGAAATGTATTTAAGGCATCATAGAGCACGTGTAACCCCCCCCGGTCTAGGGACTGCAGGTGAAAAATAGCCTTCTGGCTAATTCTATGTGCATATTAATATGCACTGTCCCTGTAATAAATAAATAATAATTTGCAGCTAATTAAACTTTACAGGAACCACAACTCAAGATGTCTGTCAAAGCTAGTTAGCATTAATGGTACAAACATGACATAACTCAGTCAGTTTTATAGATATAGAGCTCAGATTTAATGTGGTAGTAGCTGACAGTCATCCTCATTCCCTTCAGTCTTTAATATTTGTCTTGATTGTAATTCCGCTCCAGGTGTTTTCTCGATGGACGAGGACTCGATTTCTCGGGACTGTGAGCCGTTCTTTGAATCAGAAGGAGAAGAGGAGAGCACCGACGGTGAGGAGTTTTGTCTCACCGAATCACAGTTTTTCTGTCCTGAATGCACGCAGCTGAGGAGTGTTTACGCTTCTCTCTTTCTGTTTGCATCAGGCTCTTTGAGCGAGGAGGCTCCGCCCCCGCCGCGCGGCATAAATATGGGTCAGCACGTGTTCGCGGCCCGTCACGCCCACTCCCTGGCTTTGGCCCGCTCCCTGCCTGTGTCTGTACCTGTGTGGGGCTGCAAGAGCACCAGAGCCGCTCAGGGGGACAGCAGCAGCGGTGAACGGGTGAGCAAACTGGTTTTAAGAAGAGAGCTGATAAAAAGTGAGATTAGTGCTGTAGTCAGATACGCTTTCTTTTTTCTTTTTATTGATGCAAACTTGAGGAAAATTAAACAAACCTCTGCAGAATCCTGATAGATACTAAATAAAGACTCAGTTTACATGAACTGAAAAATAGAAGCTCAAAAAGGATTTTGAATTAGTTGTTGGGTGTTTAAAGTTTTTTTTAGGTGGTTTGGTCTAGACTTTTCTTAAATCATTTTAAATGTAACTAATATGTGACCCATTACATCGAAACAGGGTTTAAGTCTCAAAGTGGTGGAGAAACAGGCAAATATAATGTTCTGATTAAAACTGTTGCATTAATTGCGTTTTGTCAAAATATAACAAATAAATACCTTATTAATGTATCATTTGAATGAAATATAAGCTAAAAAAATTAAAGCACTTTTTTGAGCAGTAGTAACAAAAACAAAGAAATGTTTTTGTGCAAAATCGCCTTAAAATTTTGATGTTTTCCCTGCGAGCTAGCAAAGCTTTGTTTCTTTCCATCTGGGACATTTCAATTTTCAAATACTTTTTAAGGTTTCCTCTTTAAAAGGACATGAAAATTTCCTCATTAAAATTACATAAAATTAGGATTCAGACCAAATATTAATGTATCATCGTAATCAACAAAACAAATTAATCATATCCCTGAATTTGCTTATGAAATAATGATA